TTTCCACCTGATAGTACATTGCATCTACAACCCCATAATCAGTTATTACACCCAATGCTGCAACTATTAGACCGCAGAATATTCCAAAGTGTCTTATTTTTTAAAACGCCAGCTGAAACCCTTGATTAAATTGCACCACTTAAAAATCTGAAGTCATTCAATTTATAACCCGTGTGCAATTCTTAGTGAGATAATTGACTGCAATTAATTCCTGATAATTTGTTATGTAATGCATAAATCAATGCTGAACTTTCGATCTGATTACCTGCCTGTAAATCACTTGTTGGTTACATCTCAATCTCAAATTAACTCTTTAATTTTGGTCTAAAGTTAAATCTTTCATTTTGGTCCAGAATTAAATATCTTGCATTTTGGTCTGAAATTAATTATTTCAATCCATTCTGATGTTAACACTTTCTGTCCAACATTAACTCTTTAAATTGAATCTGAAATTAATTCTTTCATTTCGGTCTAAAATTATCTTTTTCAACTCAGTATGAAATTAACTTTTACAATTCGATCTGAAATTACCTCTTGCATTTTGATCTAAAATCAACTCTTCCATTTCGGTCAAACATTAACTTTTTCATTTCGGCCTAATATTATCTCTTTCATTTCAGTCTAAAATTAACTCTTGCGTTGCTATTGTGGAATATGTAATTGCCCAGAAAACTTCAGTTATCATCCAGCCTGGATTTTTCTCATTGATACTTCTAATTATTGATCACTATTATTTAATACCCGCACACAGGTACTGAGACACTTACACATCCCCTTTCCATCTGGATTCCCAGACGCCGACCACACACAACACGCATGTGTGCGCGTGCACACACACACACACACACACACACACAGGCCCTGATAGATCCCAGACAATAATATACTGCTGACTAGTTGCTATTTAGGGGGTTAGTTAGCTCAGATGCCTGGGCAACTGGTTTGTGATGCATAATGATGCCAACACTGTGGGTTCAATTTCTGCACTAGCTGAAGTTTCTACGAGAACAAAATAAAATAAAGCATCAGTTCTGAGGAAGGGTCACCGGACCCGAAACGTTAACTCTGTTTTCTCCTTCGCAGATGCTGCCAGACCTGCTGAGCTTTTCCAGCAACTTTGTTTTTGTTCAAAATAAAAGAAAGAACTGGATATCTGAATCAAACAAATATAGAAAGTGCCGAAGGAACTCAGGAGGTCTGGCAGTATCTGTGAAAAGAAAACAGAATTCACATTTGAGGTCCAGTGACCCATCCACCTTAGAAGCACTTACTGCCTTACTGTCCTTCACCTAAGATATGGTAAACCTCTCTTTTTCTCTCTTTAACAACAGAGCACCCACATGGGAGTATGGTGACTTGAATGGATTTCAACTACTGGTCCACTTTAAAGTATCACATTTTTTAAAATTTATGCGTTAGATTAGATTCTACTCTAAGTATACATAAACACTCAGGATATGTTATACTAGAAATAATATCTGGAATATCTGAGGATGAATATTTATACTGTAACACTGTCTTTTCTATCTATGCTATGATAAACATTTTAATATATTAGTTTTAGGGACATGGTTGTCAGTAGCGAGACCAGCATTGACTATGTGTTGCTAATTTCAATGACCATCTTGCTCTGTCGTTTCAGAGGATAATTAAAATTCTGTCACATTGAATTGGATCTGAACTTAGGTAAGGACTGAAGATGTGTCTTCCCTGGAGATTTTTAAAATATATTAATAACGCAATAACCTTTGACAGTTTATTGATGCTTTGTAGCCACTATTATTGAGACAATAAATTTAGGCCATTCAGCCCTTTAATTCTTCGCCACCATTTAATGAGATCATTATGATGGCACCAAGATTGGTGGCAAAGTGGAGAGTGAAGAAGGTTATCTAAGATTACAGAGAGATCAGGATCAACTGGGTTGATGGGCTGAAGAGTGGCAAATAGAGATTAATTTGGATAAATGCAAGGCCTTGCATTTTGGTAAAACAAACAAGGATAAGACTTATACAATTAAAAGTCGGGCCTTGGGCAGTGTTGTAGAACAGAAAGACCTAAGGCTTCAGGTTCATAATTCATTGAAGTTTGCATCATGTATGTAAAGGGTGGTTAAGAAGATATTTAACATGCTTGCCTTCATTGCTCAGAACTTTGAGTATAGGAGTCGGGACATTATGTTGAGGTTCTACAGGACGTTGGTGAGGACTTTTCTGGAATAATGTGTCCAGGTCTGATCTCCCTGTTATAGGAAGGTTATTATTAAGCTGGAGGGGGTTCAGAAGAGATTTACCTGGATGTTGCCAGGAATGGAGGATTTGAGTTATAAGGAGTGTTGGATAGTCTGGGACTCTTTTCACTGGGGTGTAGCAGGTAGAGAAGTAGCTTTATAGAGGTTTACTAAATAATGAGGGGTATAGAGAAGGTGAATGGTGGATGTCTTTTCCCTAGGGTGGGGGATTTCAAAACTAGGGGGCATATTCTTAACATGAGAGGAGAAAGATTGGTAGAAGACATGAGGGGCATTTTTTATGACGAAGAGAATGGTTTGTGTGTGGAATGAGCTTCCAAAGAAAATGGTGGACACAGGTAAAGTTACAACATTTAAAAGGCATTTAGTTAAGTACATGAATAAGAAATGTTTGGAGGGATATGGGCCAAATGCAGGTGGGACTAGTTTGGGAACGTGGTCGGCGTGGACTGGTTGGAGCGGAGGGCCTGTTTCTGTGTTGTATGACTTTGTGACTCCATTTAATTGTGAAATTTACTGTGGTGGGATTTTGAATCCATGTCTCAAGACCTTTCGATTTTGTGCCTGGATTTCGAATCCAGTTGCATTGGTTGTATGCCAGACTCCTCCACTTATGGAATCATAGAATTTTACAGTATAGAAGGGAGGCCATTTGGCCCAGCGTGTTTGTGCTAGCTCCCGGTAAAGCTACCCAGCCCGACCTCCATAGCCCCCTTACTTCAACATTTGCAAGTACATATCCAGCTGCCTTTTGAAACCTCCTGTAGAATCTGCCTCCATCAATCTCCCAGGCAGTGCATTCCAAATCCCAACAACTCTCTGAGTAAAGAAGTTTCTCCTAATCTCACTGCTAACTCTCTTGCTGGCAATCTTGAAAATGTAATCCCGAGCCACTGACATAACAAACTCCCATCTTGGGATGAGATGACAGCCTGTAACTTGCTACTTGTGCCTTTTGTCTTCATTCCAACATGGAATTAACACTTGGATGATTGTTACATATAAAGATCCCAGATGCCATTCACTTCCAGATACCTGTGACTCCATTTTGTTGCCCAGCTCCTCATTTAGATACCTGAGTAGAATTCATACAATCCTCACAGTGTGGAAGCAGGCCATTTGGCCCATCAAGTCCACACCGACTCTCCAAAGAGCATGCCACCCAATTCCTGTAACCCCACATTCATCAAAGCTAATCCACCGAGCCTGCACAACTTTGGACTGTGGGAGGAAACCCGCACAGACACGGGGAGAATGCGCAAACTCCACACAGATGGTCACCTGAAGGTGGAATCGAACCCAGGTCCCTGGCACTGTGAGGCAGTAGTGCTAACCACTGAGCCACCATGATTCACGATTAGCTCAGTGCTTAGATTCTGGCATGCGATTAAAGTTTGGGTCTCTAACCCCCATCTAAACTCATCGTTTTCATTCTGCAATTTGTCTTCTGGATAACAATTTCAAACAGAAGTAGGCCCCCTTGAGCCTATTTAACCATTCAATAATATTATGCCTGATCTGTTGCCTCACACCAAAGACTTACTTTTGGCCCAATTCCCTTAATACATTTGCTGAACTAAAAAATGATCGATCTCAGATTTAAAACTAACAAGTGATCTAGCATCCACTGCCATTTGTGGAAAAGAGATCCACACTTCCACAACCCTTTGTGTGTATAAGTGTTTCCTAACATCTCTCCTGAATGCGCTGACCCTCATTCTCAGACTATGCCTTGATTCCAAAAGCTCCAACGAATGGAAATAGTTTATCTTTATCTAGCTTGCTAATATCTTGAAGACTTCGATCAGATCACACCTTAACCTTCAAGATTCTAGAGAAAGCAGACCTCATTTATATAATCTTTCCTCCTAACATAACCCTTTAAGTCCAGGCATCATTCTTGTAAACCTATGTTGCACTCCCTCCAAGGTCAATCTCTCATTCCTGAGGTGTGGTGCCCAGATCAGCTCCAAGTGGGGTGTAACTGCAGCATAACATCTGTATCCTTATACTCCAATCCTCTTGATATAACTTACTCAAAATGTAATTTTTCCTCCCACACTATGGTCAATGCCCTTTATTGGTCCCAATGTGTAACTTATTCCTGCATACATTGTTCAATTATATAGTAACCCTACTTCCGAACTGAACTGTCGTCTTCAATTCATCTGCATATGGACTCCTTGACTGATTTTCAGTCTGTCTCATACCTTTCATTTGTTATTATTCCTTGTATTAGCATCATTCACCCAACAATTTGATTCCATTCAATCTAGGAAAGTCAGCCACATTACATGTAAGGATTCCCAAAACACATGACTGCTCGGAATCTCTATGTGAACTAGATTGGAAATCCTAAATGCTTTCAGTTTTCCATTCATTCTGGTGTATCAGATACTCTTAATGCAAATCAGGTGAAGCCTCGATTAGATTCCAGTGTATCTCACACAACACATGCTATTCTATAAATTTCATCCCACTGACCTTTTGATTAGTTTCCCTCCCATCATTAAGTCTTGGTACAAGTAAAAATAAATGAAAACCATGTCTGGAAATTCTGTTCCTTGTCAAATTCTCTGGTTTTCTATTATTCCAAAAATACCATGACTGGGGATCGATTATTCTATCCAAAAAACACATGCATTTCTCCTGTAGTTTCTAGCATTTAATTTGCTCCTCTTATCCAACATTGTACAAATATTCCCCAATTTTATTCCAGCCTCTAATGTAAATGTACTCTCTTCCTTACCCGTATGTATAATCCTCTGGTAGGGGATAAGGGATATGCTTGCTGGGGAGGAGAAATAAGACACGCAGCACATGGACAATGCTCATTGAGCTGATGAACAGGAAAATGGATCTCACTGAGAAACCAGCCTGGTAAAAAACCTAGGGAATATGAGGGAAAGGGAGTAAAACAAGAGAAGGCAGTTAAGGCCTGACTCCACCATGTCAATGTTCCCATCCTACATTTCAGGACTCCTCCCATCTCTCTCTCTTTCCCTTGTGACCCGTCACCAAGCACAGCATCATGTTCTTTCTCTTTATTCATCTTGACAACGTGTACCCACTGTACCTCTCACTTCAATCCAATGTCTTCCCCAACTCTCTGACCGCCAACCCCACCCCATCTCATTCTTTTGTCCTTCCCTTGCTCCTCTCATCTCTCCGTACTTATTTATCGTTCTCTCTTCCCCACCTCTGCCCCCATCTTTCTCCCACCTGCTTACCTCCTTACCCTTCTGTAATGCGCCATCTCTACCCGGCCTTCCTCGTCTTCCATTTCTCTCCATTTCAACCCTATGTGCCTCTCTCTCACTCAGAATGTATGTACCCTATATGTTTTACCTCTCATACTGTCCTGGTGTATAACTTTGCAGCCGCCATCTCTATGTCACTTTCTCCCTCACTATGTCCAGCTCTCTTCCTGTCTCCTCTCCCCACCCTGAAACTGATTCCACTCTCTTTCTCTCTGCACCCTAAATCTTCATTCCTAATTTCCCCCTTCTCCTTCAGATGGAGAGCCGTGGGTCATCCTTCCAATAGGCTGAGACTGCTTCGATTCAGTAAATCAGATGCTAGCACAGCAAGCCCTTGTGTTGCTCTGTACCACTCAGACCTACTTATAGAGATATTCAGCATGGAAACAGAGCCTTTCAGTCCAACCCATCCATGCTGATCATTTATCCTCAACTAATCTAGCCCCTTTTGTTTATTTATTCATTTTCTGGAATGTGAGTGTCACTGGCTGGCCAGCATTTATTGTCCTGTCCCCAGTTGCCTCCTTGAGAAGGTGGTGGTGAGCTGCCTTCTTGAACCACTGCAGTCCACCTGCTGTGGGTTGACCCACAATGCTCTTAGGGAGGGAATCCCAAGATTTTGACCCAGCGACAGTGAAGGAACGGCGATATATTTCCAAGTCAGGATGGTGAGTGCCTTGGAGGGGAACCTGCAGGGGGTGGTGTTCTAACGTATCTGTTGCACTTGTCTCTCGGGATGGAAGTGGTCGTGGATTTGGAAGGTACTGTCTGAGGATCTTTGGTGAATGGCACACACTGCTGCTACTGAGCTTCAGTGGTGGAGGGAGTGGGATGCTTGTGGATGTGGTGCCAATGAAGCGGGGGCTGCTTTGTCCTGGATGGTGTTGATCTTCTTGAGTGTTGTTTCTGCATCCATCCAGGGGCAAGTGGGAAGTATTCCATCCCACTGCTGACTTGTGCCTTGTAGATGGTGGGACAGGCTTTGGGGGGAGTCAGGAGGGGAGTTACTCGCTGCAGGATTCCCAGTCTCTGACCTGCTCTTGTAGCCGCTGTGTTTATGTGGTGGGTCCAGTTGAGTTTCTGATCAATGATAACTCCCAGGATGTTGATAGTGATGGTAACACCATTGAATGTCAAGGGATGGTGGTTAGATCGTCTTTTGTTGGTAACGGTCATTGCCTGGCATTTGTGTGGTGCAAATGATACTTGCCACTTGTCAGCCCAAGTCTGGATATTGTCCAGATCTTGTTGTATTTGGACACGGACTGCTTCAGTATCTGAGGAGTCACAAGTGGTGCTGAACATTGTGCAATCATTGGCGAACATCTCCACCTGCGATAGGGTTAGGGTTAGGGTTAGAGTTAGGGTTAGGGTAACCTCTGACCTTATGATGGAGGGAAGGTCATTGGTGAAGCAGTTGAAGATGGTTGGGCCGAGGACACTACCCTGTGGAAATCCTGCAGAGATGTCCTGGAGTTGAGATGACTGACCTCCAACGACCACGACCATCTTCCTATGTGTCAGGTATGACTCCAACCACCGGAGAGTTTGCCCCCGATACCCATTGATTCCAGTTTTGCTAGGGATCCATGATGCCACACTCGGTTGAATGCAGCCTTGATGTAAAGGGCTGTCACTCTCACCTCACCTCTGGAATTGAGCTCTTTTTTCCATGTTTGAACCAAGGCTGGAATGAGGTCAGGAGCTGAGTGGCCCTGGCGGAACTCAAACTGGGCGTCACTGAGCAGATTATTGCTGAGCAGGCACTGCTTGATAGCGCTGTTACTGACACCTTCCATCACTTTACTGATGATCGAGAGTAGACTGATGGGGCAGTAATTGGCCGGGTTGGTTTCTCCTACTTTTATGCACAGGATATACTTAGGCAAGTTTACACATTGTCAGGTAGATACCAGTCTTGTAACTGTACTGGAACAGCTGGCTAAGGGAGTTGCAAGTTCTAGAGCACAAGTACTAAATCTAGTCGCATTTGCCAGCATTTGGCCCATATCCCTCTAAACCCTTCCTATTCAAGTACCCATCCAGATGCCTTTTAAACGTTGTCATTGCACCAGCCTCCAGCACTTCCTCTGGCAGCTCATTCCATACACGCACCATCCTCTGTGTGAAAAATTTACCCCTCAGGTCCATTTTAAATTTTTCCCTTCTCACCTTAAACCTGTGCCCTCTAGTTTTGGACTCCCCTACCCTGGGAAAAAAGACCTTGTCTATTCATCCTATCCATGCCCCTTATGATTTTACAAATCTCCATTATGTCACCCCTCAGCCTCCGACATTCTAGGCAAAATAGCCCCAGCCTATCGCTCAAACCCTCCAACCCCGTCAACATCCTTGTTAATCTTTTCTGCACCATTTCAAGTTTAACAACATCTTAAACACTTCAGAAGAAAAATTCTGATTACTGTTTCAATCATCATCCCTCTGCCATTAGCTCGTGCTCATATGACTCACTTTAACGAGTAGAAATGAACAGGATGAGGAAGCAAAGGCTCCGTTGTACAAAGTGATCACTGTGGACCGTCGATCTCCAAACAAGTTTCCAACCTGGGAATCGGACACAATTACAACAATTAGTGGAGGGATGGACTTGCCTCTATCTGTATGTCTCCCACCTTCTGTGGCCCACAGAGAGCAGGAGGGCTGCAGACGCCCCTCCCATCCTACATTATTTGCAGAGTTAGAATGATATGACACCCAGTAAAACACAACAAGTGAGATTAAAACAGAGGCTCTTCCATCCCATTCAACTTCCTATGAACGACAGGATAAAGAACGATCAGTGGAAGAAAATAGAAGCCTTTGGCAAGATAACTGGAATCCTAATTTTTATTTTTTGGTTGACCGAATGGGCAGAAAATTGGCGGACAGTATAGAATGTGGAATAACGTGAGGTCATGCAGTTTGGCAGGAGAACAGAGGAGTGGATTATTATTTAAAATGAAGGAGGACTACTGACAGCTATAGAACAAAGGCAGTATTGTCCATGAAACAGGAAAAGTTTCAGTGTGTCATAGGGACTTGCCCATGGATCACGAAAAGGTTCAGCATGTCTTAGGGAAGGCAAATGGAATGTCGGCCATTATTTCGAAGAGAATGGAGTATAAAATATAGGTAGGTATTACTAAAACTACGCAATGCGCTCATTAGACTACAGCCGGATTTGTGAACCATTTTAGTCCCCTTATCTAAACAAAGATATCCTGGCATGGGGGAGTCTACAGAATTGTCTCTAGGTTGGTCCTAAGTATGGAGTCTTATGAGAAGAGTTTGAGTAGATTGGGCCTGTACTTATCTGATTTGATTTATTATTGTCGCATGTACCAAAATACAGTGAAAAGTATTGTTTTGCGTGTGATTCAGGCAAATTATACCTTATATAAGTGCATGAGCGCAATAGAGCAGAATGCAAAATACAGTGTTACAGCTACAGAGAAGGTGTAGAGAAAGATCAACTTGAATATATGAGAGGTGCATTCAAAACAGCGGGGAAGAAACTGCTCTTAAATCTGTTGGTACGTGTTTTCAAACTTTTGTATCTTTTGCTTGATGGAAGAGAGTGGAACAGAGAATAACCAGGGGTATGAAGGGACTTTGATTATGTTGGCTACTTTCCCAAGGCAGTGTGAAGTATAGATGGAGTCAATGAATGGAAGAAAAACAGAAGTTGCTGGAAAAGCTCAGCAAGTCTGGAAGCATCTGTGAAGAAGAAAAAGATCAGAGTTAGCATTTCGGGTCCGGTGCCCCTTCCTCAGAACTGGAAGGAAGGCTGGTTTATGTAATAGACATTGTTGGAGTTCAGAAAAATGAGATGCAACCTTGTTGATAAATACAAGATTCTAATGGGAGCTGAGAGGGGAGATGTGGAAAAGTTGTTTCCCCTTGTGGGAGAGTGTAGGATCAGAATAAAGGGTTGCACATTTATGATAGAGATGAGGAGGAATTTATTCTCTCAGTGAGCAGTGAATCTGTGGAGTTCTTTATCTTGATGAGTTTTCTATGAATTTGGGGCATTGACTATACTCAAGGCTGAGGGTATACTTGGGAGGGAGGTAGAGAATGGTAGTCACTGAGTGGTTACAGAGACCTGCAGCCGATGGGTGAGGACAGTGACAGATAGATAAACATCATATGCCATGACAGCAATAGCTACAAGCAGCAACAATGTTAGTGGGCCACAGATTCAGAAACTTAAATGCCCCCACCCCCACTGATAGTTCAGTGTTGTCATGGATTGTGTGAACTAGATGACTGTCCTGAAGGCTCCCACTTTCTCCCCATTCAGAGCAGCAATAGGTGCAACAGACTGATGGCTCAGTGGTTAGCACTGCTGCCTCACGACGTGAGGGACCCAGGTTCAATTCCACTCTTGGGCGACTGTCTGTGTGGAATTTGCACATTCTCCCCCTGTCTGTGGGTTTTCTCCAGGTGTTGTAGTTTCCTCCCATAGTTCAGAGATGTTCAGGTGGATTGGCCATGCTTAAAATAAAATGCTCCGTAGTGTCCAGGAATGTAGAGATTAGGTAAGTTTGCTATGATAAAAGCCCCTTGTGGGGTGAGCCTGAGTGGGACAATCAGTGCAGACTCGATGGGCCGAATGACCTCTTTCTGCACTGTTATTCCAGGAGTATCTTCAAAAATACCCTTCCCAGGGTGCTTTGTCCATCAGTATGGTCCCTCTTTCCTTGTTACCCTATTGTCCATCCTAAGGCAGGTCAGCCCTCTCCCGATACTGGTACTCTGACAGTGAGTCACCCCTGCACTGTCCTGCCTCCTACACAGCAGCACAGACACTGCAATCCATCACCAGTGCTCCCTCACTGCACGTTAGGTTCTGTTCCATGCGATTAAACACTACCTGCATGTTGGAGATGTAGAAGGTCCCACCTCCCACTGCGATTAAGCAGGCTGCAGGGAACAGCAACACAGAGGATGCTGCGAAGAGAGATGAGAGGACCGCATGAAAAAACAAAACGACATCTTTCACCACCTCATTGAAACAAGACCCTTCAGGACAAGGACAACGTTTTATTTCAATTACCCGCACTGCAGTCACCTCGAAAGCAGTATCGGAAACTTCCTCACGGATAGCAGGGACATCTTTCCTCCACGGGGCCAGCTTCTTATTACTCCCATTTAGTTGCCCTTGAGAAGGTGGTAGATGTAACAAGGCCAGCCGGCTGGACTTCATAGAATATGAGTTCCCTGATTGGGGCTATTAACCTGCTCCAATCAGGGAGCCCTGGCTGACAGTTAAAAAGCATCAGAGATGGCCTTAGAGGTATTATCGATGGAATGTTAATCCTTAGACCCATGTAATGTTCTGGGGAACTCAGCTTCGAATCCCGCCATGGCAGATGGTGGAATTTGAATTCAATAAAAACTCGGAATGAAGAGTCTAATGATGACCATGAATCCATTGTCAATTGTTGGGA